AGTACTCACTAATGCTGATGCTGGTGGTTCAGAGACCACTCTGAGAACCCTAGGGTTGAGGAAATTTTTTGTTTGTCTTAAGGTTCCTGGCCTTGCCCATTTTCAATAATAAATGGGGAAAGAAGAAGTAGAGAGGGAGAGATATTGGAGATGCCAAAGAGAGAGGCAGGAATAAAATTGCCATATTAGTGACTTGGAGGAGGTAAGAGGGGTCAAGAGCATCAGCGAAGGGAGTAGAGACTTTTTATTTTCTGAAGGATAAAGGAAGTAGGAGAATATAAGAGAGAATATGGAAAAAAAAACTTTGTAGGAGGAGAGAAGGGAGGTTGAGGGATCTCCCACTGAATAATTTTGTGATGAAATCATCGAGAAGTAGGGAGGGATAGCTGATGAGTGAGGGGGAGGGGCATTTGCAAATAGTAGGAAAGGGTTGGAGTAGCGGTTGTAGGGAATTCAACAGGGAGGCAACAAAATGAATAAAAGGATACTAAGTAGCAGTGGGAATCCAGCTGAAATTAGAATGGCTTGAATTTGAACAGTTTGAAAGCCTAAAATTTAAAGGGGAACAATACAGTGAGAGACATAGGTGGAATTTAAAGCAGACACATCTCCTTCTCCCAGAGAGCAGTGCAGTTCTGGGTATGATATGTTAAAAGTTGGCAAGTCCTTATACTTTATAAGACCGTTTGAGAGTATCCTTTTTATATTTCAGTTAGTAAATGTCCATTTTTTCTTCTAAGCATCTGATTTTAACTGTTACTCCTTGGGTTTTGACCAGTTTCCTTCTTACTCCAGTGATCCCCCTTTTCTATCTTTGCTTCCTTGGAACTCATCTTCAATTTAACACTGAACGGAATGAGAAAAAAGAATTTATGTTATAGAAGGTCATTTTATAGCCAGTTTCCTAAGGGAACATATATTCCATTGAATGGGGGTATATCTTAGCCTTAGCCAGTTAAGTTCTCAGTTATAGGAATGCTCTCATTTCACATTTTTGCCTTGACCAATCAATTTTTTTAATTGAAGTATAGTTGACATACAAGGTTATATTAGTTTCAGGTGTACAACATAGTGATTTGACAATTGTAATCAATTTCATTCTATTGTTTGCCTAAAGATGAACCTCAGAGGGCTCCTGAGAGGTTCTGATTGGAGCCCATATTAAAGCCTGCAATGTCAGTTGGCTGAGGGTTTCAAATAATTCCATTTATTACCTTGGGTTTTGCTTGAATGCTCATTGTGAAAACCAGCTCCTTTAAATGGTTCTGGGCATTTTGTAATCCTGCATAAGATTGCCAATATATTTATTTATTTTTAATTAAAATAGTATCTGCATCTCACTGACAATGTCAAAGTGGAATATTTGACCTAAAGTCATGAGGGAGCATCCTTCCCCTCCAAATTGAGTATGAATTAAGAGAACATGTAAATTGCTAATTAAATCTTGGAAGACTGCAGCATTTCAGAGTGTGGGAACCTACACGTAGGCCCCAAATCATTCCACTGGAATGATGCCATCTAGAATTTGTTCTGATGAGATATGATATCTGTACTAATTTTGTTCTCTTTTTTGCCGGGGTGATCTGCTCTTGTTTGGAAATAATTCATACACCTTGAGTATTTTCTTAGTTTTGGTACAGTGCCTCTCTCCATGGAGAGTCATCTCCCAAGGATACTCTGTTTACTGCAGCTTTTGTGATTTTATAGTGCTTCATGAAATTCCAACTTCCAGGGTGTTGATGCACAAGAATTCCTCTGGCCTTGTAGAAACCAAGCCTTATTTAGAAATGTGTTAGACTTATGGAAGACATGAAAGTCAGAAAGGGATAAAAACAAACTCTCCATGTGGAATTTATCTCAATCTCAAAGCATAGATAACAGGAGTTGTAGTAGCAGTAATAGAAAGAGAGTAATCAAAATATCGAGAAAACCCAAGGAGACAACATCTGGCTTCTTAGATCTAAATGACTAAATCTTTAAATTACAGGTATTCCTTAAGACAATTACCAAGTTTATTTTCTAGAGGACTGCTAATGGGAAGGAATTCAAATAATGAGGCCAAGGGTCTTTTGTGTATGGACAGGCTTCCAAGGGACTTTAACCCTTAAATGATCAATGGCCAATTTTAGTCGTTAGTATTTTTACTAAAATTTGAACCTTAATCTCTGGTAATAATTAAAATATTACTACAGGGGCACCTGGGTAGCTCAGTCGGTTAAGCATCCGACTTTTGATTTCAGCTCAGGTTGTGATCTCAGGGTTGTGAGATTGAGCCCCACATTGGGCTCCATGCTGGGCATGGAGCCTGCTTAAGATTCTCTCTCTCTCTCTCTCTCTCCCTCTGCCCCTCCCCCCACTTGTGCTCTGTCTAAAAAATAAAATAAAATAAAATATTACTATGTATATGATAGATCACATTAAACATACAAGACATATCTAGTTTGAGTCTTTTCTAAAGTTGTCAAAGTGCATTTGTTTTTCAGTATTGCAAATAGTGATTGCAGCCTGAATGTTCTACCTTTCCTTTTTATATTTCAGCATTTCTTAAATTTGAAACATTATAATATACGTGTAAATGTCCTATTGCTGAAAACTCCACATCACTTTGCAAATAAAAAGGATTTGATAATGTGAGTGCAGCCATATATAGGGAGTAGCTTGGCCTTAGGATTATTAATGAATTTAGAGGAATTTCCCCCCCCCAAAATAAGAGAAAACAACTTTCTTTAAAGTCAAACTTACCTAAAATTTCAATTACAAGTTATCAGAGGTAAGTTATATTAACAAACAGCTTAATAGCCATTTCTGTCAAAACAACTGTTGAACACAATTTAGGATTTATCTTTTTAAAAACTGGTAAATAAAAACATTTCTGTCAGTGCTTTTCTATTACTTTTTGAGAACCCCTAGCTTTTGGTGGAAGCTTTTTCTGCCTCTGATATCCTTTCTCAATTGTCCTTTTTTGCTCTATATTTTCTTCCCACAATACCAAACTACCAAAATGATTTAATACCTTTTAAAAGTGTTTTGTGGTTGCATGCATTCTAGCCTATTATGTTGGAGTCACTTATTACTGTATTCTAAAAGCAACTATCACAACTTCTTAGCATTTTAACTCCATACAGTTAAAATTGTAGCAGTAGGGGCGCCTGGGTGGCACAGTCAGTTAAATGTCTGACTCTTCATTTCAGCTCAGGTGGTAATCTCAGCATCATGAGATCAAGCTCGCATGGAGCCCCTCCTGGGGCTCCACCCTCAGCAGGGAGTCTGCTTGAGATTCTCTCTCTCCTCTCCCTCTGCCCCTCCTGCTGGTGCTCTCTTTCTCTCTCTCTCTCTTTCTCTTTCCCACTCTAAAATAAACAAAGCACTGGGTGTTATATGCAACTAATGAATCGTTGAACACTACATCAAAAACTAATGATGTACTACTATTTGTTGGCTAATTGAACATAATAATTAAAATAATAATAATAAATAATAAAATAAATCTTTTAAAAATTATAACACTATGATGCGATTCAAAGAGTAGTTCTTTACTACTTGGTTGATGAAATGACAAAAGGAGAAATACGTTGAAGAGAGAGGCAGAAAAATCCAATGTAGGACATTTATGTCTTATTAAGGGGAGGGGGAAGCCCACCCACTCCTATTTTTTGATACTGCTAAGTACAAGGAGATCTAAATAGAATTAAGCAAGGATCTAAAATTATTTACATTTTGGAAGGATATTGGAGAAGTTGCCTTAGCTATATCATTGGTTAAAACCAAGCATGGATTTCACTTTCTGAATAACAGCCTGTAAAGGAAAGAAACAGAGGAAAGGAAATACCTTGATTTCAGAGAATCAAAAGCTGGGAGAGAAGTCTTAAAACAATTTTGCTACAGTGATCTAATTGCCAAATGCTGTGTGGGAAAGACCATGCCTTTTCCCTGGAAAGTACCTTGCCTAGACATTTTGCTTATCACGAGCTCTAGTAGTGCAAACGTTTAGGGGCACTTGACATGTGGGGGAAGAGGAATCTTGAGCTTCAGTGCAGGACATGGAGCTCTAATTACCGGACCATCAAAGCCCATAGACAAGGGAAGAAAATGCAGTATTAAGGAACGCAAACCCTTGCTCTTCTCTCATATTTGTAATGACTGTTTTGAGTCACACGGGAACTTTTCCTATCAATTTTAGCCAGGGATGGGGCAGGACCATCTTGAAACTAAGGAATGGAGACAGAAAAAACTGAGTCTATTCCAGGACAGTGGTGGAAGTACTGTAAAATGAGGCATCCGTCCACCACTCGCAAACCAAAGTCCCTCAGCCTGTTTTTTAAAGTGATCACAGGCTCCCTGCGCGCGCAGGAGCGGGTTAGCAACCTGCAACTCTGATTTGAATGCGGTTTTGGATGCTGGTTCCCGTGTGCGCTGGGTATTGGAGAACTCACACTAAGCGCTCTAGGTGGCCTGAACTGTTTACTTCGGAACTCACTAGAATCTTTCTCCTGGAAGCGGGGCGAAGCTATCTTAACCCCGCAAAGTATGGGAGCAACGTGCAAATGGAATTGGAGCTGCCACCACCCTTTCTTGAATTGAACTCAGGTGCAGGGTGGCGCAGGGTTGCGGAGAGGCATGTTTTGGAGTCCTGCTTTGTGTTCTCACCTCAACACTGACGGGGCATGGAGGGGGAGGGGCTTGTAGCCTAGGCCACTTTGAGAGCTCTGCGTGATAATTGGCGGTTCTCTCGTCTGCTAGGAAGAAGCGGAGGAACCATACCGCCCCTTCTCGGGCTCCATCCTCCTTCGCCAGCGAACCCAGAAAGGCCTCAGGTAGTTGGGAGGCCGGCCAGGGAGTCTCCACCTCCTTGCGGGGAGCAGCCATTCGGTGCGCTTGGGAGCCGAAGGGGGTGGGGTCCATTGGCTGGGGCATGCTGCCAGTCTCGGAAGGGGGTGTGTTGGGGGTGGGTTCTTGGACCGCCGCGCGTCCGGGCTACTCGCTGTTCGTTGGGTGGTGGGTGAGCGTGAGTGTGTGAGCCGGGTTACTGTAGACTTGAGAACAGTTTGGAGAGAGCAGGGCGCGCCAGAGAGAGCGCGAGAGAGTGAGGGAGCGAGTGCGAGCAGATCTAGAGGAGACAGGGCGAGAAAACAGGGCCCAAAGACCTACGGTTTGAGACTGAATGACCATGGCTGTCTCCGCACCTCCGGTGATCTCTGCAACTTCCAGCGGTGCCGGCGTCCCAGGGGGCTTATTTCGGGCAGAGACCTTGTACTCGACTCCCGGGGAGCCTCCCCGTCTCACCGCTAATATGATCAACAGTTTCATGGCCAATAACCACAGCGGCAGCGCCGGGGGTGGCGGGATCGGTGGACCCAGCGGAGGCAGCGGCAACACTAACACCAACGAGTGCAGGATGGTCGACATGCATGGTGTGAAGGTGGCTTCGTTCCTGATGGACGGTCAGGAACTGATTTGCCTGCCTCAAGTCTTTGATCTCTTCCTCAAGCACCTGGTGGGAGGGTTGCACACGGTGTACACCAAGCTGAAGAGACTGGACATATCCCCCGTGGTGTGTACTGTGGAGCAGGTCCGGATCCTCCGCGGTCTGGGGGCCATCCAGCCTGGGGTGAACCGCTGCAAACTTATCACCAGAAAAGACTTCGAAACTTTGTTCACCGATTGCACCAATGCCAGGTGAGATACTTATTTTTAGCTTGTTCTCCCCCCGCCCTTTGCCCTCTTCTGTATGTTTCATCATTCTCATCCAACTTTGCAGAGTGTCTTAACTAGCTTGCCTCTACTCTTCACGCTCTAAGTGGGTGGGAAAAGAGGACTAGAAGGACTAATTGCCCATCCCTTCTAGTCCCCGCTCAGTGGCAGGGCTTGGGTCTAAGATAAGCCCCGCACAAACTTCAGTTTGCTGTCCTCTACTGAAACTTTACAGCCTTTCGCCCATATATTGCATGGCTTATTGGCTGCTTCTGGTTATTTGTTAATTTCTCTATGTGGTTTTCATTACTCTTTTGTGGCCGTACGGGTCGAATAGGTTTTCTCCAGAACACAGACACCACGGACTTTCTAGGGCAGAAGGCTGGCAGAGCTGTAAACTGGGCTCCTAAGCTAGCTAAATCCACAACACAACATTTGGGGGTTGCAGAGGGTCGGAAGTTTAGAATCCATCCCAGAGGGTGATTCGTTCCCCATCCTGTGTGTTTGTTGTTAGAGTACGTGGGGTGTGTGACGGTGGTGGTTGTGGTGGTGTGTGTATGAGTGTGCGTGTGTTTAGAGAGAGAGAGAGAGCAGAGGCAGAGACATAGAGACAGAGAGAGAGCAAGAACGCGCGTGTGAGGGAGCGCGAGCCTGTGAGGACGTGTGCATATACCTGCTGTGCAAAGCTCCCCCGGTTCACAATACAGTAAAGTCGATGGATCGACGACAGATGTCACTTTCCTGGGATAGTCCATTTTAGGTCATCTGCAGAGGGCAATGCGGGGCATGAAATGCTGGGACTGGGAACTGGTTGAGGGTTGAAGTAGAAGTTGGAGATGATGCTTCCAGCTCTTCTCCCCAGGCAAACAGTTGGAAGGATCCTTTTCCCCCAAAGAGGGGACTTCTTAAATGATGATGACCAGCTTCTGTTGTAAGTGTTCTTCCTTCATATGACAGTAGAATAAATGTCCATTGGCGTATGTCCATAAGCAAATTGTATTCAATGTTTCTAAGTTTAAAAAAGAAAGTAAAATAAACTATATTCAAGATTATTTGAGTTTTTAAAGACCTGTTAATTAGTCCCCATAGTGTTTATTCCATCTCCTGTCAGGTAACATCTGTTAGGCATGTACACATTTGGCATACAAACCAAGAAATCATGATCAGGTTAAAGGGAGCAAAGGGTTTTGTTGTAAAACAGCATTACCGTTGATCATTTTGCAGAAAACTTCTGCAGAGGTTGACTTTCTCACAATGCAACTTTAAATCATAAGAACCCTGGATTTACCAACTAAAAGGAACTCAGTTGTCAACATCCCTTGTAAAATCTAAATTACCATGTATAGTTGAAGTATATGACACCTTGTAGACAAACTGTTGCTGACTGCTACAATAAGATAATGCTACAGAACTTACAAAGGAACCTTTCTTCCCCCACTTTGAGCAGTGTTCTGTGTTCTAGAAATTAAACAGAAACCTGTTTATATGAGAACCTCTAGGTGATTCGCATCTGGGGCTTACAGACCTGGTTTATTAGGTCAAATATTCTTAAGGTAGTTAGGTGGTCTTAAAACACAAAGGATAACTGCTCCCTTGATAAAATAAGCAATTAAAGTTGTAAGAGTAGGAAGGAAATCTTATTTTTACCACAAAGCACTTTACTAATGCACAAACTCAGAAAGTTACCAGGGACTTCAGATGAGGGCTATCTAGTTCGTGTGTTGCCAGTTCAAAAAGATACATTTAAACAATTGCAGACCTGAAAACCTTTCTTTCCCCCCTCACTCTCTCCCCCTCCTCCTCTCTCTCCTCCTCCCTCCCTTCCCTCTTCTCTCTTACAAACAGCCATTATTAAAGTGGAACAATTATTACACACAGGAAATTTGTCCTACCTTAATAATTAATTTATACATCCTTGAGCAAAATCTATGACTTTCATTTAAAAATAAATAGATTAGTATTTTAATGTGACTTTGATGCTTTCCTCTAAGTAGAAAGTTTTCTTTAATTTTTATTAGAGCTACTTACTGAAGGGAAAAATGAAAAATTACTCTATATCAAGAGGCAGGTGTTCTTATACTATTTTTGGACCCTATTTTATGATATGTTTTTAGGTTATTATTTTAATTCAGTTAAGTTTTATTTATTCCTATCACAGCATTTACAATGCTAACTTTTTTGGGGTCTTAAATTGCTTTTGTGTATATGCATGTATAAAGATGATAGGGAAATCTTAAGAATATAAGAAGAAATATGTATGAGATATGATGCCTATTCTTTTGCATTTATTTCTTGATGGGTATGTTTTTGATTAACATGAATTTTCTATAAGTGTGTTATAAGTGTTATAGTATATGATTGTAAAAATTTATGAAGTATATTCTATGAATGCAGTCCATGAATGGAGGTGAGGAAAACTACTAGAAACACACCTGTATTGCAATTTCTAGAGAGTAAAAACAACAACAACAACAACAAACAGCCCACAATATCTGGGGAAAAGCTTGTTAATGATAAAATAACATTACTGAATTTTGTCACTGCAAAATGCCCTCATAACCATGTTGTTAAAACCTACAAAATATGATAATGCATATAATAGAGACTTTAGGACTTTAGGTAACATTATTTACAGAAATGTGTGCCTTAAATCCCCAACATCTGAGTGATTTTACAAAATTGTGAAATTATTATTTAGATCAACATTATCTCTATGACTTTTCTAGTCAGTGAGAAGAAAGGTGAGGGATGTAAATAGGAATGAGACTCAAGAGAGACAAAATAAGGTAGATGAGACATGAAGCCAGTAAGAGAAAAGAGATGTAGGGTATGAGCAGAATGATGCTATGAAAGGAGGTGAAAGGTGGATCAGAAGAGCCTGGAGAGATGCTCAAAGAAATGAGAGGTGAATCAATGGAGACTTGGCTAAGGAGGATTGTCACTGAGGACTCATGACTTCTTAGCTCTTCTGGCTAAAGGGGGATGCAAGGAAAAAGTATATGTATGTTCAGTGAGTGGAAAGTCTTATATGCTATTCTGATTTGAGATAAGAGATTCATCTTCATCTCCTGATGAATAAATTTCCATAATGTATTGTTCAATGGAAGGCCTATTTGTAATGGTGTCATTGGCAATTTTATTTTCCTACATAATAAGCATTTCTTCCTCTCTCTGTCAGTTAACTAAGGGAGAGTACAAGTCCTGACTTAGGGTATTCTAATTTGAAATATTTCCTACACTATTCCAGAAGACGCAAAATGGACCATTTTCAAATTGGTCATTTTCGAAGACCTTAACGTATTGCCACCAAGTGGTGTTTGGATTCATTCGGCTCAGGACATATTTTTATTAATGTGCACTGAAGAAAGGTGAATGAATAAAATACATACGTGATTGTTTCTTTGAAAGTACTGAGAGTCACCAGAACTCTAGCAGTGCTTTATATTAACTATTTTGTTATTAGCTAATTTTCAAAATATTCAAACTTGTCTTCCCATAAGAGAAGTTGGAAAATAATACCTGCCTTAGCTACTAAAGAATAGTAAGACTAAAAAAAACCTCGACTATACATTGTTCTATTAAAGAAACCAAGCTTTACATCACCGCAATTCCAAAGGGCTGTGCAATAATTTTCCTTGATGCTTTTTTACTTCAGAAACTAATTGTAGGGAGATTTTTCTGAGGATTATTAAGAAAATGATGATATAAAGACCCAAACCAAATGGGAAAAGTTACCTTGTTTTAGATCTTTTTTTCTCTAGCTAAGGCACTGTGATTTTTTTTTTTAATTTCTTGTGCAGCAAACTTGGAGTTTTTAACATCAGAGCAGGCAGATTCAGAAAGCAAATGTCTAAAAAATCTCACTCTCATGCAATGGATTTTCCTTACTAAATTCTTCAAAGTTTAATGCAGCAGTAAAATATTGAATTAAAAAATTGGTATTCAGTAAATGTGAAAAATCAGCCAGCACATTTTAGTGTTAATATTTTTTTTTATCTACCTAACCATATAAAAGTACCATTGTTAGATTTCATGATCGGCATTTCATTTGAGGATCAACTGATTAAATGTTATTCAGTCATTTATGTATAGTTAAATGAAGGCTTAGAGAAACAAGAATGTGTGATTAAGAAAACATTTAAATGTATTTGGAGACATAATTCAACATATATTCAAATGAGTAAAATTCAGTTTTTTAAATTAAAAATTTAAATGATCTAATTGTAGTTAATTGTTATTTTGCCCATATGAACAGAACATAAATGGGCATCCATGTTAGAATAACTTTATGTGAATTATGACTTTAAAACAATTTAAAACCACTTTCAAATACAAGAAGTACAATTTTTGTAAGTACTCAATGATTTCGGCTTTGTATTCACACTCGATGACTATGGTTCATAATCCACACAGAATAGCAATTTACTTTGAAAATTGATGTTTTTTTTCGTAGGAAAGTTATACAAAACCAAATTTTTGAAGAACTTGCATCACTTTCCTGGGCTAATATTTTGTATGACTTAACATTTAGAGAAACAATAAAAAGATTCTAGGAATTATTCTGGGCAGTAAAGGCAGACATTTTACTTCATAGGTTAATGAGGGGATAGTTGGATTGTCTATTAAAAGCAGTCACTTAGTCGTCATTGCTCTTTTATTAGAAGAATGATGTCAAGATTATAATTAAAGCAATTTAGTCATGTGCCAGTGCACAGAACGTCCACATGCACATTCATTTAAAATGGACACTTCTGCATAACCAACAATTTTTGTATTTATCTAAATACCTGAGCTGGATTTAATATTTGTCCAAACACTCATTTATTAGGTGATGGATATTACATTAAAGAAATGATGCATGATATGATGGAGAATTTCTTTGGATATTTATGTGTAATATTACCCTCAATGTGTAAGTATGCCAATAATTAGGAAGTGATGGTCTTCAGACATTAATGTTTTAATGTTCTTTAAGAAACCCTTAA